ATGATTATTTCTCTGCTCTTGTCTATCTGCATTTTTTCTTCTCTTATACTCTTTTTAAACCAGCTCAAGCCCTCACAACACACATGTAAAGACGATTACTTTCTGTGTGTCTCTCCTACCCGAATAGATCTCTCCCCTTAACCAGAGAAGCCATATTCCTAACCCTGTGCCTGAGACCCACCTGCAAGCAGTAAACGATTGAGGTTACATTTGACGGCCGCAAATAAATAGCAGCGCATGTGTAAATCAACCGGTCTGATGAAAAGAACGGAAAGCGAATCAGCGTCGATACTTGTCGTAAACCTGCCAGGCAAAAAGAAAATAAAACAGCAACAAAAAAAAAAAAAAAGAAAAAAACAGAAAACGTATCCGGTTATATAGTCCCATCTTAACTAAGAACATCAGCAAAATACATTTAGGAATTTATATTCACACACAGAGTGGGTGGTGCTACCCAAATCTTAGGGCGATTTGAACTGAATATTGTTGTACGGCTTTTGCTGCTACAATTTGTGAGCAGTGTCCGCTGGGAGATACTACTCTGAAGAAGCATAGGGAAAACGGATGCTCGGGTTAATTTTACTTGGTGAAATTTGGGGTAGTGGCTGATATCTATCTATCTATCTATCTATCTATCTATCTATCTATCTATCTATCTATCTATGTTCATATCTGTCTTAGGCTGTTTATATCTAATTATGAATCTTTATTCATAAAATCCAAAGGAGAACTGGCAATGTTATTGGTCCTGACCTAGCATCTCGGCTTCAATTACTTTCCCATCGCCGTAAAGCTGTTTCCTTGTGTTCTTTCTATAAATATTTTTATGTTAATTCTTCGTATGAGCTCTTCGTTATGCTGTCTAGATTTCGTGAATTTAAGCGCAGTACTAGATTGGCAACTAGGTCTCATCAATTTACAGTTGAAATGGCTAAATATAACCGTAATTTCTATACTAACAGTTTATTTTCTCGTTTGTCGAACTCCCTTCCGGCTCCATGCTTTCTAGCCAACTTTAACCTTCAAAAATTTAAATGCAATTTCAATCATTATCTACCGTCTTCTTGATTTCCTCTTCTTTTCTTCCCGCTCCTTAATAATGTTTCTCTTTTGTCTTATTCTCTCACACACAGTAACCCCATATGTCTTTACGGTGGTTTCACTCTCTTGCTTGGGGTAATTTCGATTAAAAAATCTGTCTACCGTTCGTCCGTTCATATCGATCTAACTTTGTTCAGAGCTATATATTTAGTGTATTGGGTCAGCAGATCATTATTCAAACATATATTGCTAAATACAACTGACAAAAAATGTCTATTATGTTTGTTCATGAGCCGTTCTAAGCTTCGTATAGTGGCTTAAGTTTAACAAACTTTTATGTCAACATAACAGGGTGTCATCTTTCATTGTGAACATCTCTGTTGTAATGACCACATAACCACTCTGAAGATGGCTCATGTCAGTCGAAAGCTTAGATCAAGGAACAGCATAATAAAAAAATATCCAAATGTTGGACAATTTTTGTCTTTATTTTCTCCCGAAATTAAAGCAACCATACAAAGTTTAGAACAGCTCATGATCAAGCATAAGAGACATTCGTTGTCTGTTATATTTAACATTATATATATATATATATATATATATATATATATATATATATATATATATATATATAAGGTCATCCTATAAGTTCTGTCCGAATTTTAACTTTTTGTTAAAATGAACAAAATTTAAAGAGTATTTTATAATGTCTAATGGAGCTGAACATTATTTTTATGTTTAGATGCATTTAAAGTGATCAAATTTTATTTCAGAGAACAATAAAATTAAATTTTGTTTGATTAAAACCCTGCTAACATGGAAGTACCCAAGAATCATTTGAGGCACATAATGCTTTATGAGTTCAAGAAAGGAAACTCAGCAGCCGAAGCGGCTAGAAACATTCACTTAGTTTATGGAGAGGAATGTGTGAATGAAAGAACTTGCAGAAGATGGTTTGCAAAATTCAGAGGTGGAGATTTCACCCTTGAAGATGAAGATCGAACTGGACTTCCAGTTGAGTTAGATGAAACGCCTCTTGAAGCAGCCCTTGAAGAAAATCCTGCTTTATCAGTTGAGGAATTGGCAGTGGTTCTCAGTTCAAACCATACAACTGTTCATCGTCATCTTCAACAACTTGGAAAAGTTTATAACCTTGGAAAATGGGTTCCTCATGAATTGTCTGAAAACAACCTGAAATCCAGAGCTGACATCTGCTCTTCTCTCCATTCTTGTTTCACCTTTTTTGGATAGATTTGTGACTGGCGACGAAAAATGGATCTTTTATCGAAATGTTAAGCGTCGTAGACAGTGGCTTGGTAAAGGGGAAGGACCCCAGCCACAGCCGAAAAGGGAACGTCATGGGCAAAAGGTTCTTTCAATCTGGTGGGATCGCCAAGGAATAATCCACTTTGAATTCTTACCACCTAATTCAACAATTAATGCTCAAATATACTGTCAGCAATTAGAGCGTTTGAACCAAGCTTTGAGGAAAAAGACATGCTCTAGGGAATCGAAAAGAGGTGATGTTTCATCGGGACAATGCGTGACCCCACACAGCAAGAATCACATCACAAAAGATCAAAGAACTTGGTTAGGAGAAAATTCCTCATCCACCTTATTCTCCCGATCTTGCTCCTTCAGACTACCATTTGTTTTGTAGCTTACAGAATCATTTGGAAGAAACAGTTTTTGTAACACAGGAAGAGGTTAAAACTGACATTTGTGAGTTCTTCGAATCAAAGCCAAAAGAATTTTACAGTAATGGAATTAGTAAGCTTGTTAATAGATGGAAGAAATCATAGATAATCAGGAAAAATACATTATTGATTGAATCTGTAATTAAATGTAACATTTGGTCACTTGTTTTCTTTATTCAAAATTCGGACAGAACTTATGGGATGACCTGATATATATATATATATATATATATATATATATATCTTCATACATGTTTCATTAAATAATATAGACAAGTGTTGTCTATTTATTTTATGTAAATTCTTTTCATAACGCCTGATAAGCTTAATAACATTATCATTAATCGAAGAAAGAAAATCAGAATATTGATCCATTTTGTTCATATCTATCTATCCCTCTACGTTTGTTTACATCTAATTATCTATATTTATTCATCTCCCCCTCTCTCTATCCAGGTTAGTGTATTCATACCTCAATATGTTCATATATATCTCTCTTAGTCTGTTTATATCTAATTATCTATCTTTGTTCATCTCTCTCTCTCTCTTTCACTTACATTTGCCTATTCATATCTATCCATCTACACAGACATATTTTCGTGGAAGACCGCGATCTTGCTATCCACAAGGAGCTCTTGTTCCACCAGTTAAGTCTTATATTTGCATAGACCAGTTCCTCAGTTTGAAGTAAACAAGTCACCAATCATCAACTTTGCTACAAAGATTCATTTGCGCTGGGTAGACCATATAAAGTTGGTAGAAAACTATCGTATTTCGAACTTGCTACTATATTCATTGAATTGGGTTTTGGCTGATCGAGCATGTACGCACCACAGAGAGACTCTCTAAAAAGGATTACCGCCTCCCGTGAGAATAACTACCACCAGAGGATGCCAACACGTAGATATGGTGGCCTAAGGTCTTATAGACGACTTGTTTTTACGAATTAGGTCACAGCCAAGGAGAAGGATTAAACCCAGTTTTCCAGACCTTCTTCTGTAGAAATACCTTGCTCACTGGTCTTTGAAAGACATGTAACAGACGTAGGAAATCATTCTAAATCTTGGTTCGCGAAGATAGGCCATGATTCACACACACATGCAAGCGGGGCACATAACATTTATTTCTCCGACAGTAATAACTTTCATTTTATTATGTTTGGTAAGTATGGGAAACCTTTAGCGAAAAGTGGGCCGTGTGAGGTACACTACGCCACAAGTCGGAGGCGTTCTACTAAAAAATCAAGATAATTTTTCATTAAAGATACAGTCGAGATTTTCCCAACAAAATGGCATGCGCATAAGTATTTGAATTAGAAATGGGGAAGAATCGATTCTCTTTTATCTTTGGGAAAAAATATTTCTTCTATAATTAAAAATAAAACTGTAGTCTTGATATAAATTTATCACCGATGACAAAGGGATTAACACACACACTGCTGCGTGTGATACGTTTTTAATTTATTCATTTGTCTATACAAAAATATTTGTAAAAAAAGAATCATAATTATTCTCTAGAGGTTTACACGTATGATCTTCCTTAGTGAAAATCGCCAAGGGTTTAAAATGCTGACAACGTTACATTCAACGAAAAGTTACAGAATTCAAAAAACATTGTACTTAATCATTGTTTATGTATGTGGTTATGTATGAGAGAGTGTGTGAGTGAACAAGTGAAAACAAAAGGAAAGAAACAATTTAATAAATTATGAAATTAGAGGTGCCATTCAGAATGTCGATCGGGCTGCGTGTGGCCCGTGGGCCGCAGTTTTTCCGTGTCTGATCTATGAAATCAGAAGAGAATCTTGATAGTATATCAATAAAGGATAAATAAACTTACACACCATAATTTTTGGCTTGTTAGAGATAGTAGCTGAGTGTCAGTCTGGCAAAATGGCGTATGAAATGTCGCATGACACAGAGGTGCTTCATTGAAATCCTCTCTCTCTCTCTCTCTATATATATATATATATATGTGTGTGTGTGTGTTCAAAATAAAATCACTTATTAATAGATTAAACGGAATTCGGTTTATTCAGAGAATATAGTTTTCACAGGGAGCGCTCTCTAACCAACAACAACAAAATTCCTTGGAAAAGTCAGTCCCACTTTTTGATTATTACTTGTCTCGTTGAAAAAGTATACAGGCGTGTCCGAAAATCCCGACTTTAAAATCTTTCTTCTTGCTTCAATTTAGTTAAAAGGTTAATATATAATAAATATCATCAATTTTATTGCCAATATTATCATTTTGTTGTCGTTTTATTCCACAAATTTCATTAATTGTTCAATTAAATCTACATAAGAAGCAAACTTGGACCATCTTTCGTTATAATTCTGTCTATCAATCTCTCTCTCTCTCTCTCTCTCTCTCTCTATATATATATATATATATATATATATATATATATATATAGGCATTTTTAAAAATCATTTCACCCCCCAAGCAAGGCGGTAATGTCACATAGATCCTTTCAGAAAAGCGATACCTAAGGTTTAAAATGCATTTTAAAAATGAATAATCTTTCTTGAAACTTTTATTTTATATTCAATTTCACGCTAATAGATTAAATTTAATCTTTCCAAAAGGCAAAATAGTCTGCACTATTTCAAACCGAATTTACATTGTTTGCAATTATGTTTACCTGATCATCAATAAAATCAATAAAATCGTCCATATTGACAAATCTGTCAACGCAACATAATTCACTTTATTTAAAAAAAAAAATCATCAAAAAATATACTTTCGTACAACGTTATTTAAGAAAAAAAAACAGTTGATTTAAAGTTGAATTCATCTGAATTTAAATAAATATTACTTTTAGTTTAAAATATCGCAGAAAAGCACTTTTCACCTCGGGTATGGATTTTTTATTATGTGTTGATACATTTATCGACAGCCTAATATTTAAGAAATTTATTCAAGGCTGAGATAATTGTAATAAATTACATGACGAATACAACGTAAACGCCTATTTCATTGTAAGTTTTCAACGACCCAGTAATCATAGAATATTAAACACATTCTAATATTTTATTGAATTTTAGGACCTTTGACTTTATAAACTTACGAAGACTCATATTGCAGAAATGTTAGAAAAGTACCAATAAATATAACATTTACTATAGTTACCGCTCTTGATTTTTGACAATACCATTTATAAACCCCCGTATTTACAAAAATCGGCACGTTTATACACACACAATACAAATTTTAAAATCTTTTTAAATTACTGAGGTCGCTGAATAAGCTTTTACATTTATGATTATCAAATAAAATTTTTATTTAATAACAATATCACTTGACCGCAACAAATTAATACAGAATTTTAAAAGATTTTAAAAGTTTATATATTTTTCGAAAAAAAAAATTAAAAAATAGAATGAAAACAATTCTTGTAAAAATTCATTATTCATCGAAAAAGTTTTGTTTTTCCTAAGACAGTAGTATCCATAATATATTTTATTCATTGAAAGCTTTTCTAATTAAATAATGTCTTAGTTTTACTGCATGTTTTATTTTACGATTCAGAGCAGATTTTCTGCATCTGGAGTTTCCGTTTGACCTAAAGAATTTCAATATTTTAATTCTCCGATGACATGTTCTTATAACTAATAGAAACATTAAGTGATACAAAAAAGAATTTCTCAAAATTTCATAAAATTAAGTAAGTATTGTTGTTGTTGGTGGTGGGTAAAGATGTAAAGAAAATATTTTTATCAAGATTTTCTAATAAGAAAACTTTTCAAAATAATTTAATTCATTTTAGAATAAATCCTAAAAGTTTCATTAAAAGCCGACAGTTATCTGATTTTTGTAAAAATTTCAAAATCAATGTGTTTCCCATCTAAAAAAGACGCTATAATTTCCCGTACACATTGACGCCAGAAAAAAAAAATCATTTTTAACCAAAATTTCGAAGGTTCTAAAAAGGATTAAAAAATAATTTTAAGATGAAAAAATCCTTTGGTCTTTCTTCTTTATAATAGCCTAAATATGTTGACGATAAAATAGAATTCTTATTAATTTTTCCATCATATATGCTCATTTTGTAGCGAATATTTTCAGGTACACACATACACACACACACACACACACACACACACACACACACACACACATATATATATATATATATATATATGTCATTCGCAGACAGTACTGTTTCGCTGTATCACAGCTCATCAGTGTGGCTAGACGTTCAGTTAGCTCTAGCAAGGATCAAAACCTGGCTGAATTAGCGTCAGTCCGAGAATCTACCCCTCTATCTATCTATCTATCTATCTATCTATCTATCTATCTATCTATATGTATTCACAAAGAGATAGAGAGATCATATAATGTGTGGACCGAAGCCTTGTGATGATTGTGCTGGCACGAAGTTACAAGACATTAGTTTTGTTTGTCGATTGTTTTTCCTGGTGGAGACCCAATGATCTTCAATGACCTGAAAAGACATTGAACATAGAAGAAGTAGAAAAAAGAAGAAGAATGGATCTTAAACTAAGAAATCCGTTTTTCTTTTAATTCTTCTCTTGACTCACCTGGAATATCTTTACCTGGATTTGCATTTAGACCTGAGCCTTTATTGTGTGATATACATATAACTCAGTCCATAGTTTCTGCTATCATCTCTAAAATGGATCCTCACAAAGCATGTCGACTTAATGATATTCCTGCAATAGACCTTAAGAAGAATGCTTTTGTACCTTCTCGGAAATAACAGGTGAAACCACAATCTTCTTGGTTCACACAGGCCTGTACAGCCGATGTAGCCAACAGGAAGCACTTTTGCCAGGTGTGTATTAGCATGATAGTTCTCATCACAACAGACACCTATTTGTGTTTGGTCGTAATAATTGTAAACGTGGCCACAAAGAAGCTAGGTTTTTGTTTACTAATAGAATGTATAGCGTTTAACAAGTTTGGTTATAATGACTACTCAGTCAGGCAGTTATGTGCTATTCTTAGGCGATCATATATCTTTCGATACATTAATGACAAGGCATATTTTTTCCCCGCAGTAAGTTGCCATTTCTTTCTGCGGTAGACCAGTTGCCATCCAAGGCTACAGAACCCTATCTTCCTGCTATTTACCTATAGCTGTGAGGTGGGGGGAGAGAAGAAGAGGATTCATACCATTCCCAAGGGTATTAATACGTAAGTGAATGTAATGGATCCGACCAGAAAGTCAGTCAGTTATGTGCTATGCTTGATACAAGCTTAGGCGATCATGTATCTTTCGATACATGACCAACGAGGCAGATTTTTTTTTCCGCAGTAGGTTGCCATTTCTTTCTGCGGTAGACTAGTTGCCATTCAAAGCTATAGAACCCGGTCTATCCTGTTATTTACCCATAGCGGGTGGGGAGTGCAGGGGAGAAGAAGAAGATTCATACCATTCCCAAGGTGTAGAAATGCCAGGATGTAGCTATCATACTGACAATAGCCGTTTCTTGATAATGAAACAGACGATCGAAAGTATTTAAAGAAAACAAACAAACTCGAGTTTTTGATATTTCCCGAAATGCTGATTCAGATTTACAACATCTTGTTCAAATATTGAAAAAGAGGCATAAAGGATTAAACACATGGTTGAAGGTTGAATTTAATGAAATTTAATTAGATGAATGCTTGATAAATATACCATATATATATATATATATATATATATATATATATATATATATAGTCTTACTTTTGTGCTATATTTATGGGATAAAGTGCTCAATATCAGAGATAGAGCGTGTGTAAATATAAAAGTGAACATAGAAGTCAACATAAAGGCGACAGTCTGTTTCATGCTATATGCAATCGTCAGGCCTGACGATTGCATATAGCATGAAACAGACTGTCGTTTATATATATATATATATATATATATATATATATATATATATATATGTGTGTGTGTGTGTGTGTGTGTGTGTGTGTGTGTGCGTGGGTGTTTATGTGCTCTTCTGTTTAGGAGTTTGTGTGCATAATTTTTTTTATATATGCGTATGTGTGATGATTTGTCTCTGTAAATCTATAGTAAAGAGATAAATTCAAAATGTTATCTATCTATGTCAATATGTTCATAACGATCTCAGTCTGATAATTATCTATCTATCTATCTATCTATCTATCTATCTATCTATCTATCTATCACAGTCTGTTGCTTATCTATCAATCCATTTCAGTTTGTTTCTCTCTCTTTGTATCTATCTATCTGTTCTTTTTCTATCCCAGCTTGTTTCTTTCTCTCTCTATCTATCTATCTATCTATCTATCTATCTAAGCATGTTCATATCTATCTAAGATCTTTTTTATTTAATTCTTCTAACACATACCAGAGCATTCATAAAAAAATATGATGCTATAAAACAACAGCGGATATTAGGAAAAATAAATCTATCTATCTATCTATCTATCTATCTATCTCAATATGTTCATAACTGTCTCAGTCTACTCATTATCTCTCTATCTATTTATCTATCTATCTAAGTGTTTTCATATTTATATATCTAAATTTGTTCATATCTGTCTATCTAAGGATCATTTTTTTTTCTTTATATCATTTTTTTTATTCCTAAGTTATTTTCTTTATCTTTTCTTATTCTTTCTATCTATGTTAATATCTATATATCTGATGTAGAGGAAAACGAATATTTAGTATATAGACAAAATAAAAATGAAATAGACAACGCTTTTCGAAATGAAGGAAAACGGAATGATTCCTAGATTTATATTCATTTTCCCTTTAGGGCTTCCGGTAGCATCTCTCAATCACGTTCTCGCGTTATTTCTTTCCGTTACTACCTATCGTAAGACATTCTGCACCCATACAATGATTTCTTAGCCTCTTGTCCATGCAACAAGCCTACGGTTTCTAATTTTCTCTCCCCACCTCCACTCTTCCCTCGATTCGAAATCGCTTTCACTTCTTTTTACTTCCATATCCGTTTCGATATAACAGCAGATGGTCCGGGCGAAAAACTATTTTGCGTCTCATTCGTCGAATTAGGTGTTTTCCACTTAAAACAAATACATAAATAAATGAAAAGGAATTAAATTTGTTTATATATGGCTGCGGGAAGGAAGCCTTATACGCATGCGCGGTGCTTATCTTTTTTAGGTTTTGACGGAGAAAGGGAAAATGAGATGAAATTAAAACAGTGCATTTTTTAGAGCTTTGAAAATTGCATGTTGCTGGTTCAGTTCCTAAAAGAATCAGTTCACCGGAAGTGAATTTTGAAAGGAGGATGCTCTTCTTTTTTTTTTTTTTTTTTTAAATGTGCAAATGTATTCTTGGCGTATGTAAAAAGAATTATTTTATTGGTTGCTGTAGTTAGAAAATAAAATCTCATTATCACAGAGAATATTATATTTTAACTCTCTTCGTCTTTCTCCGTCACAATACACACACACACACACACACATACACACACACACACACAAACACATACAAACACAAACACAAACACACACATACACACAAATAAATAAATATATATTTTTTGGTGAACTGGTACAAGTCAATCGACCTGATCATAAACCCCTAAAAACGTTTCAATAAAGTAGTTAAATGTAGCCTAACGACACTTGGCGTTAAGGTTGATGTCTGGGAAACTTGCTAGGGAAAGACCTGACTAGAAAAGATTGATTTGGGAATGCTGCAACAATTTTGAACAGACGAGAATTGAACATTCCAACAAAAAAGCGCGCCATAAGGAATGGAGAAATAGAATCTGTCCTAAAGCCATTAGGACACCAACACATCTGCAGTATTTGTGGAAAAGTCACCCTCTCGGAGGCTGGTTTAGCCAGTCAGAGAGTTCAGGTGCAAATTATTGTAAATGCAGACCTACCTAATTCCTGCAGGTTACTTGCGCAAGTTTTGGTGACAATGATTGTAAGTCTGTTGCCGGACTTAACCATCACATGATTGTAGACAGGGACATGCGAGTTTCCAACATAAGAGTAAAACATAAAATCTTTATGTTTGTCACGTATTTAAATGAAGTTTTAAAGACCTTAAGAATCATTTACATGCCCATAGCAGAGCGTTAGCTCAGTTATAAATGATGCAAATAATAAAATTCTGAATGAAAAGCACAAAATATTACCAAGTGAAGAGATGGCCTTCTGCAAAGAAGTGACAATATTCATATATATATATATATATATATATATATATATATATATATATATATATATATATATATATATATAAATCAGGCGTGGCTGACCACATATGGAGAGAGGAGATCACCGCCCCTGTGGGATCATGTTGAGATCATAGACAGGGAACACCATTGGAAAATTCGTAAACTTAAGGAATCAGCACATATGCTAGGCCAAAAATCTCCTGAGCCGACCAAGCATAGAAATAAATACAATATGGGAACCAGTAATAAGGAGTGCCAGAGAAAAGCAATGATAACAAAGTTGCAATATGAACTCTGGTAAAGACATGCAATGATAACAGCAAAAAAATTGCAATATGAGCACTGGTAAAAATGATGCTGAAAACATTAGGTTTATAATACTCAGAAGTTCATACCCAGATGTCCTCAAGGACACATGGATAAAGGCGTTGGTTAGATCCAGTGACAGACCCAAAGAAGGTGAGTTCAATTCCTGGTTAAGGCAGTGGAGAACTTTCAGAGGGAAAAATTAGCAGGACAATCCTGACATCCATCAAACATGGCACGTGGAATTAGAACAGTCTACCCCAGCGATCGAAATAAAGGGTTCAGTTCGAAATTCCAACCACCTGAAGAAGGCCGGAGCGTACAACGGCCGAAACGTTGTGACAAATATGGCGACAAAGATGAGGACAATAGTCCGACTAATGTAAATACTGTACATAATACCTCATCTCAGAAATATAGACATATATATATATATATATATATATATATATATATATATGAATATATATCCCACTCAAATTACCACCTAAAAGTGTTGGAGGCCATCTATATGCTATCATTAAAACCTTCTCTTTGTAAACAGAAGGACTTTATATTAGACCTCCAATTAATTACCATTTAAATATAATTTTTTCTTCTTCCCACCAATAAATTTTGTCCATTGTTTTTTTTTTTATTATATAATTTATTCTATTTACCTCGATTTAGCTCCGTTGAGCGAGGTCCGAAACCGGTTAGCTAGCCCGTTTTTCATTTTTACTTTTTATTATCATAAGTGGTAATAATAAAACTAATTTTTGTCTGTTCTTGGCAGTGATAAAATTTTGTTGAGTAAAAGTTTTATCTCTTGATGTTATCTTCTGTATCCCGACTCCAGAGTTTCGTAGACGGAGTCTCCAGGAATTACACCGTCCACTTGTCAGTGAGTATTAACAATTGACTGCTTATATTTCTTGAATTTTTCTTTTTATATGCACTTTTCATTGGTGTATGATTTTTTCTTATCTTTCATCGTCATGTCTGCGTTCGCGCACGTGCGTCCGTCTGCGCGTATGTGTTTACTTGTAGAATGTTGTGATCTTTTGTCCTTTTTGTCGTTGTTTTTTCACTTTACACTCACACCTCAAGCTTTTCTCCCTTTTTCTCTTTTTCTCTTTTCCCGCCTTTCTTTCAATTGTTATCATTTGACTTCCAGTTTTCTAGACAAGTTCTCATTGTTAATTTTTTTAGCTTTCTTGAGTTAGGAAAATTATATTTAATTTTTATTTTTACATAAATAATTAATTTTAAGGATTAAATAATAAAGTAAATATTTATGACGGTTTCCACTTAGTCGTTAAGTATAACAATCTCAGAAGATATTATGGCCCTAGTTGTGCTTTGAACTGTTTTGGCACTTTAAATCGAGAAAACTTATGTAACATAGTTTGGCAGACACGAGAAACATATTTTGTTGTCATTAGGTCTATTCTTGTGACTGCTTGCATGTCTTTTCAATTCGCCAGTTCACTTGTGCACCGCTAATTTGCTAACTTTTTCGCGAATGTTACATGAATTCTCAGTACTTAATGTCGTTTTGGAGTTTTTCTTTGCTCTGACACGATGGGTTCGCGTATAACTACATTCTCCGGCTTTGCTAAAGCAAACATATATACAGGATGTGACAAAAAGACTTTTACAAACTTTGGGGACGAGTTCCTTACACCAAAAGAAGGAAAAAATAAACATAAGTCAAGATCCGTAGCACCACGAAAACACCTTCTACAGGCTGTCAGTGACCATCCAGGTATCAGCACACATCAGGTGGCCCTAGCATATTGTACATCACATAGTACCGCATGGAAGGTACTTCAAGTGCAGCTCCTGTACCGTATCATTTGCAACGTGTGCAGGATTTTTCGTTGCTGTTGGTATATTGCACAATGTGCCGATCTGTTGCTTGTCTCTTCAGTCTTATTTGCAGATGAAGCAACATTTGGAAGAGATGGAATAACAAATTTATACGACCAACATTTGTGGGCAGATCGGAACAATACAGGCTAGACACCAGCACCAGTTTACGATTAATGTATGGGCTTGAATTGTATGTGACTGTCTGGTAGGTCCATATGTTCCTCCAGCACCTCTTACAGAAGCTGCCTACAGGGACATTTTTTTCGAAAAGACTTCCAGACCTGTTAGAGGATATAACCCTGGTAATACGAAGACGCTTGTGGTCCATGAATGATGGGGCTCCAGCATATTTTAGTCACATTGTTCGCGATACATTGGCTGACATCTACCGTGAAAGATGGATAGGTACGGGAGGAAGGGTTCCTGTACGTTCCACCGACCTCAATTCTTTGTATTTTAGCTGTAGGCCTACCTAAAACAGTTGGTTTATGCAGCAGACATTAATAATGCAGAGACGTTTTATCAACGTTCATGGGGGCCTACAAAACCATTCTTATGTAAGCCGAAAGCTTCGATAGGAATAAAAAAACATGTATCAATATGGTGATTTTCTTTCGTCTTTCAATGATAATGTTATTAAGCTTATTAGACAATATGAAAGGAACTTACTTAAAATAGACAAAGCTTGTGTATATTATTTAATAAAACATGCATCAATATATATATGTGTGTGTGTGTGTGTGTGTGTTTGTGTGTGTGTGTGTGTTAGCTATGTCTGATTGAATAAATTACAAATATTATATATTATGTGTGCTTATTTCTATCCTAATCCGGTAGGCGAAATAAATATTTCGCAATAACATTTCCCGTTCATGCAGCATTTAAACGCAAAAGAAGAAAAAAAATGGATAGCTACACATAGTTTTTACCTTACCAGTTGCACCCCTGATGATGATGAGCTCAGAAAGAGATGGAAAGTACTTCGGAAATAAAAATGATTCTCACTGTTACAGTACATTTCTGTCTCATTTAATTATAATATACGGAAAAATATTCGTGAATATGAAAGGATTATGATCAAAATAATCAGATATAATGTTTGCAATTTATTCAATCAGACATGTCTAAAAGAGAATTTGCTGCCGAAATACACACACGCGCATTTGTGCATGCATGCACACACACAAACATATATATATATATATATATATATATATATATATATATATATATATATATATATCCAGGTAACATGAGAACGAATAGGTACAATTCCAACGTTCGAAACATTTAATTTAAAAGGGGTCAATACTTAAAGAAGCCATTTATTTATTAACTATCAAAAGAAAAATACGTAAAAAACTTATAAAGCATAAAACTTTTTTAACATTTTGTGAAACTACTTGTCCATCTCATTTTTTCTTAGGAAATAATTCTGTCTAGTGTGTAAAATATGTTTCCATTTATATCCACTCCTGTTTAACGTCTATGCTGCCATTGACTGTCAATCTACGGGACATGACCCATTAATAGAAAATAATTTCGTAATTTTACTTTTTCACTTAGTTTAAATTTAACACAAGTCATATTTGATTGGTTGGTCTGAGTAAAGCCCACAAAACTTATACCGACCCTTTTTCTTTTTTCGTAAAAAATGTTGTATTTGCTTTTCAATCTAAATAAATCAGTCACTCGC